GAGACGAGAGTGATTTGATTTCCCTTCCCCAGACGCTCTATCTATATACGCGTGTGTATGCAGAACTATTGATACTGTGTGAGAGAAGCACTTCTTTGAGCTGGATTAAAGCGGATGCGCAGAGTAAAATACAAAAGAAAAAGAAACTTTTTGTTTTGTATGTATATATATTTTCTTCTCCAACACCCCTTTAGATTCCCGCTTTCTCTAACCGAGGCAACGCCCAGCTGCACCCCCGCCTTTCTTCCCAGGCCCAATGGGGCCCTCCTTTTCGTGTGTGTGTGCGTGTGTGTGTGTGTGTATGCGAGCGAGCGGGTACGGCTGGGGAAAAAGTGACACAGAGCCTCGTAGGTGGGTGTCACAGTCCCGCGCGGATACCGCTGCTTGCTAATGTGGGTAGGACGGGGGTTTTGTATGAAGCTGCTACCTTTCCTGCAACGCCTACGGCACCTACACAAACACGCAAACAAATCGGTGGCGGAGCACGAGAAGGGAAGCAGTCTAAATAACAATAACATTATTAAGGAGGCCAAAGTTCTGCGCCCGCGGAGAGGTGCAGCGTTACACAAAACCGAATAGGGATTAAACACAACAAGAGAAGAAGACACAGAAAGACGCGCATCCGCTCGCCATAGTTTCAGTACAAGCAGAGGTAAACCCACCCGCATAAAAAAAACAACAACAACAACGCAACATGGGCAGAGAAGCCGTGGAGTGCCATACTAGCCGCAGAGCCAGGAAAGAAGCGAGACAAACGGGACACCAAAGAAAGGAATACACAAAGTGAATAGAAACCGATTGCAGAGGAAGTGCGGGGTAAAAAAAAAAAAAGAAAAACGGAGACGTTGGACCTCCTCTCTCCCCCCCCCTTTCCTTACATTACTTCATTGCGCAAAAATGCAGGTTTTAGCGTTGTCTAAGAAATGGAAAACGCACCCGCCCCTCCGCGTACAAGTTTTGCTTTGCTTTGTTTTATAGCTGTTGCTGGTATGCAAGCCGGCCAGGTTCTCTTGCAGTGGCGCCTCCATTCCTTACGGCAATATGTGGCTGTTGTCGGCGGACGGAGAGTTGTCGTCCTCGACGTCCGATGGCATCATAATGATAGTCGTCGCTTCTTCTCTACTTTGTCTCGAGGGCTCCGGGCAAGTCCGGCTACTGCCTTTGCTGCGGCCGGCTTCAAACAGGCGCGAGTGGGCCAGCAACTGCCACCGCGGGGAGTCAATACCCCGCAACAAGGCTCGTTCCGCCCGCAGTGAGGCTAAGGGGTCCCTTCGCGGAGGGCTGAGTCGCCGTTCCGCAAAGGAGACGGAAAGACCCAGTGAAACCCCTGCACGGCGAGATGGAGAACTGGCCGTCGACGCGGTAGCTCGAGGAAAGCTACGATTGACACCAAGATAGGTGTTCGATGTAAAAGGGAAAACAACTCCAACAGGGTGTCGCTGCCGCGTCAAGTGGGTCTTCCCCTTCCACGTATACCACGCCGACGCCAGCAGCTGCTTTTCATGTATGCTTTTTGCATGCATCATCAAGGCGGTCTCTTCCATGGCGCAGCGATTCTCCTCACGTCGCGCCCAACGCCATCGCCACAGGCGCCATGTACCAAATACTAGAAAACGCTGATACATGAATACCGCCAAAGCAGCACGATCTCGCCCTATTCTTTGACGAAGCATTACGCGTTGAACCCATCGGTCCCACATTACGTGACACACCCTTTGCGACCGGTGGGAAAGCAGCAGATGGTGAAGCCGCCTCAGGTGTGTCCTACGCTTCCAATCGGTAAACGTGTACACAATGAGGCGCTGCTGTCTCATCGCAAGAAACGTTCGCATGCGATCACTTCCGCCTGAGCTTCGTACCCATCGAATACGCCACTTTAATAAGGCATGGTAAAGGAGGCGGCGCCCCCATGCTTGGGTAAATTGCGAACACAAAATAAGAAGTCGATACATTTTGCACCATGTCTTCAGGCAATATTGTTGCAGATATCGTTTTGCATGCGCCTTGGCAATCTCACCGAGCTGCAGACCCTCCAATCGACTTCTAAGATGACTTGTAATGCGCAGAAAAGAGCGCCGCAATAGCATACGATCTGCCACATGGCCGCGGTGCAGTTCGCGCCAGCGCTCCAGACACCGCGCTGCAAGGGCACGCTCTGCAATCAGCGGCATAACTTTTCCCCGCGCGTGAATAACATAGATGCAAGAACGACGCCAAGCAGCAAATAAACGACGTCCACATGTATGCGTGCGAAACCGTCTCACCAAGAAGGATGTCCTCCAGCACGTCCAGGCCTGTTGCCGGAGGCGTTCGGTTTTTGTTTCAATGAGGCTGCGACACTGCCCTGCGGCACATTTTTGCCTTATGGCGAGGCGACGACGCTCCATTCTATGCCTCCACTGCATCCAACAGAATTGTTTGTCTCGCCACATAAATTGGGCAATAATGCGTTTGAGGCCACGACGCTCCACAAGGCGAACATCGCGCCAGATGTGAAAAGATAGGCGCTTAAGACGCAACGAAGTCAACTTGTCACATTCTAACAGCAAAGATCTGAGTAATTTGGCACTGCCATGCAAATCAGTGATTGTCGCAGCATCAAACTCCACTTTGTCTGCAGAAGCCTCGATGCGTGGCACTGCCGCCTGCGATATTGTATTTTTTCCTTCGGAAACTTTTGCAGAGGCCTGAGGCAAGGCAAGGCTGCTGGTGCTGGTGCTGGTGCTCCTGTTGAGCTTGGCATTTTTCTTGCTTCTAGGACCACGTGTTGGGGTTTGTTTCAATGCCGCCTCTCGCGCCTGCAGGGGCGTGGGACATTCTGCGTGTTCACTAGCAACCGTGCTTGGGGCTTGTGTGGCACTCTCTTTAGGGGGCGACGTGGTGTCGGCAGCCAGGCATCGCAGCAAGCACATACCATGACGCTGCTGCCAGCGTACAAATGCCGTGAGTAGAAGTGACGTTCGCCGCCACGTCCGGGCATGTTGCTCCATCGACAGAGTCAACAAAGCAAGCGGCAAAGTCTCTCTGAACCATTGATGGGGGCAGCCACATGTGACATCGGCTGAGGTCCCCCTCCTCGCTAACTCGGGAAACACCTGCAGTAGAAGCGTCAAGGGAGCGTTGGTTGACTCGGAAGCAGAGGGAGTCGCGAGACACTCTACGGGGCCAGCTGACAAGGCACGCCGAAGCAAGGGACCAATTGCATCCCCGTCCCCTTTCCATTTCAGCGTAATGAACTTCGTCAACTCGACGAGAATACTCGAACGCAGGGAATCCTCTTGTAGAACAGCTCCAACGGCGGCGGCGAACTCTCCATGGGAATGCTGACAGGCTCTATGTGGTTGACTTCCACAACAAAGAAGGTGCACCGCCGTCAGCAGCACATGTTTGCCCATGTTTTCAATAAGCGATGCCGCCTCCGAGGCCACCACATACGAACTTGCCATGGCAGCCAGACGTAAATTGCTGGAGACGCCGTTGTTGGCGGCAACACAAAATGCAAAAATAGTGCGACAGGCCTGCGTAAGAAGTGCCTGAAGCAACACCATGCAACCGCCGCGGTACATGTTGTTCTCAGTCATCGTTTCCCTTCCCCAACAGCCATCCACGATGAGGCAACACCCCGCCCGCTTCTCTCCCTTCACCCTTCGCAACGGCTGCGGCCCCACCCCACCCAGCTCCCCAAGACACACCGAGGAAGTCTCTAACACCCGGCAAGCGTGTGAGGCGTGCACCAGCGCCCAGGATCCTCCGCCCCCCAGACAGAAACCACCGCAGTTGCGGAAAGAAGAAGAAAAATGAAAAATGGGCAGAGACGCCAAAAAGTTTGGGATCAATTAGAGCGACAGGAGCCGCAGCAGACAAGCGGACTAAAAAAAAGGAAAGGGATGAGGTAAGAACAAAAAATCGCGATGTGGCGCCGGGTGTGTGCTCAGAGCTTGCGAACGTGTACCCGCTCCCCGCGCTGAGAAAAAGCGACAATAATAAACCAAATCGCGTCCAACTGGCTGCGGCGAGAGACACACTCCAAGAGGGAATAGAAAGAGAGATCCGTGAGAGCAAAGCAGAAAAGCAAAAGAAAAAAAAACAAACAAATGGGGCGGATGGATACTGGACGAGGTGGTGGAAGTCAACTCAATGGGGAGGGGTGTGTGTGCGTGTGTGTGTGTGGCACTAGAGGAGTCACACTCTCGGGCAAACAATGGGGTGGAGGTTAACAGAGCAAGCAGAGCGAAATGCAAACATTCTCACAGCTCTCCCTCTCTTACTGTCTCTGTTCCTCACCCTGACTTCCTTTTGCTTTTGCTTTGACTCTCTCTCTCTCCCCCCCGTTCTCCCAACCCACTCCCACTCCACTCATGTCACAAATATGCGTCTCAGTGATGAAAATGAAAACTCCTCCTTCGTGCGTGGACACACCACGATATTATGGGAAAGATTGCCCTCATTGCTTTTCTTCATACAGTACTGCATCACGGCAAGCTTAGACACAACAGTCCCGTTCGGGAGTGCAACCGGGTAGTTTCCACCTGTCCCACCGTCAAGGCACTCCTTTGTCAAGTAGCAGTAGAAGCGCGTGGGGCGTTTGATGAAGAGTACGTCGTTGCTCCAGCGTTCCTCTGCGTCGAGAAGATCTCCTGCCGTCAGTGACACTGTACTGGGTTCCTCATTGCGTGAACCCAACACGAGGGTGCTACTAAGCGTCTCCTCCACTAGAGTCATCATTGATTGGTCAAATGCGACGGACCCGGATTGAGTGTTTAGGTGGGTCTCCGGAATAGGCGGGTTAAATGGGGAAACGGCGGCACGTCTTTCCAGTACCATGCGATCAAAGTACTCGTCTTTCAAAAAGATGGAGGTGGCAACCAGGCGCGTCACAAGATCCGGCAGCGGATGCGTCCAGCCGTGCACCGCTTCCTCACTCTCTACCTCCTTACCATGAAGTCTTCCGAGGGCTTCACTGACGGAGAGGAGTTGGGATCCCAGCAGAATTGCCACTTTATGAAATGACACAGCAAGCTTGTGGTAGCCTTCTACAGACATCATAGAAACCACAAGACGCGCCGACTCTTCGTTCTTCTGTGAGAGCAAACTTTCTGCCTTTGCCTTTGACGACGACGCACAACGCTCTTCAGCGTCGCTTGTTGAAGGTTTCTCCGCATTGGTTCCTGGACTGTTGTAGGGCTCATTCCGTGGCGTTGCAACATTGATAATGGCCTGCACAAAAGCTGGCCTTCGTGATGCATGTGGCAGAAGGTGCGCTGCAATGTATTGCACAACAACGTGGTCGGCGGTTGTTCCATCTCGGAAAATTTGTAGCAGCCTTGTAGCATGGAGTTCCACCAGAAGATCATGCAACATCATCAAAACTTTTTGCCGTCGCTTGTTATCAATGCGCTCCACGGCAGGTAGCAGTCGTTCCTCACAGTACTCGATGGCTTCTGTGACGGAATGCCTTGCTTCAATACACTGAATGGCAATGTGCTCCGGCGCCACTGTGCCGTAGGCCGTCCCCTGCTCCTCTGGATGGGAAGGTATCAGGCTTGGTGTGACAAAGGCGGATGTGGGCAACGATTCTGACCTTCTGCCCTGATTTTCCGATGAATTATTATTGACATTGTTGCTGTTGCTGTTGTTGTTGCTGGCGCCGCTGATACTGCCGCCCTGAATAGGTGGAAGTGGGGGAAGTAATAGTGAAATGAGCGTTGGAAACCAAAACAGCGGTAGTCCGTAAACGTCTGCAACGTGAAACGCCAGCTGGTAGCGCTTGGTGGCGATGAGGTAGTCAACCATCTCCATGCGCAGCCGCAACACACCACGCAATATATGATAATTTGCCCTGTTTAATATATGTGGCATCGTTGGTGAGCAGACGTAACGAAAAGCATCATGTGCGACATCATCCTTTTTATTCGCGGCGTTGGAGGTGGGTCTCTTGTCATCCTCCTCTTTCATCCCTAGAAGCGGTGTCATGCACTGCAGACGAGGCAGCTCGCGCTCCAAGAGAAAGGAGGCCCGGTCAAAAAAGGCACTGTACATTCGAGACACGTTAAATACACGTGACGCTATCTTATCTAGCGATACAGCCGCCGCTAAAGGGGTTGGATTCGCCTGCTCACGTTTGACAAGGGCCGCCAAAGCCGCCTTTACCGGCTGGAGTTCTCTCGAGAGCTTCTGAAGCTGCCGCAACGTTTCGATGGTGTCTTGCGTGGCGGGGTTCATTGTTGTTGTTGTTGTTTTTAAATGGCGTGTGAAAATTCACTAGAAGGACAGCAGCCAAGCTCACTCGTTGACGGCTCTCCCTGCTTCCGGGCAGATGCGAACTCCTATCGTAATCTACTGCAGGGGGGTCGTCGTGAACCCCCGCCCCACACCCAAAAACGGAGGATGAGAAAAGCAAACAACAAGCGTGCTTGAATTAACAGTGGATGCAACCAGATACTAACGACTTCCTGGCGGCCACACGGAATCCACTCGCATAGAATGATAATGGCAGCGATGGCGGTAATAGGTGTCAACGAAAAAGAGGAAAGGATTCACCCTCCACAGGGGCCATCACGCCGCGCCTACAAGAGAGAGGAAGAGAGGGAAATAAGCTACAAGAGAAGCGACAACCGAAGGATATGTTTTTTTTATATATATACAACAAGGCCCTTAGTAGTAAATAATAATAAAAAAGAAGGATTTTTTTTGTTGTTGTGGTTCATACAGATTTTTCTATTATTATCATTATTCGTGAAAGACTGCTTAAATTTGAGTTAGTGACCGCTGTGTGACTTCACACCTCCCTATCTCTCTCTCTCTCTCTTTTTCCGCACATTCTCAGCGCCTCCTCCGCTTTATACCTGTCGGCCCGCCTTAAAATTTTTTTTTTTTTTAGTTCGTCTTCTCTTTGATTTCAATATATATTATCCTTCTTCTCGCACCATCTATTCGTTCTTTCCCCCTCTTTTTTTTTCTCTCCCTCTCTCCCCTCCTCCACCGTTTCCTCTATTCCCTCTTTTCCTGCTCTCTCTCGTCTATGTGCGTGACGCCACGCGCAGGGCGTTGGAGATCGCCACCTTCACCTGTCGCAGAAGCGACTCCATGTTCAGCACCTCATCGCGCGCAGGATACACGCCCCACGCCACGTCACTCTGAAGCACCTCAGTGCGACGCGTGGGCTCCACCAACGCACCAATAGAGACATCACCGGCAGCTGGGGGGAGTGTGACTGCATCAGATGCCAGGCAGCTGGCATCTCCCGTCGTACCGAGCTGCACTGCCCCACCACCAACAGCCGCAAGGGTGACCGTAGAGAGCTGGTTTGTGAAGCTCCGCTCCACTGCACTATCTGTCACCTGCTTCAGACTTCTTCTTGTTGGGGTGTCCAGAAGTTGTTGATGGTAAGTGCTCGTGGTGTGGCTATCCTCCTGCGGCGGTGCGGAGATGGCTAGGTGCGTTGACTGATTGCTGATAGACGGTGCGGCAACACTCCACCGTCCGTCGCCCGCCCGACTGACCCTCACGCCTTTGATGTAATCTGAGTGGAAGGCCTTCCATAGGTTCACAACCCGTTGCGCCTCTTCCAAAGCGTGCACAATAGGACCCCACTGGCTCCTCACGTCCCTTACGTGGGCTGCTCGATCCAATAGCAGAAAGGCATGCAAGAAGAGAACGAGGGAATGCAGAGCGACAAGGTGCGGTACAAAATGCACCGCCTGCACCACTCCACTATAATAGGCGTTCTCCATAGTAGCCACCACCTGCTCCGTTATGGTTACCATGAGTGTCTTGCTCCGCGCGTCATCGCTAAGACGTGGTGGCGGCTGCTCTCCACCTGTACCACCTGCATCCGTCGCAGCAAATCCATTCTCTCCCCACCCTGCAAAGAGTGCACCCAGGTTTTCCGCTCGCAACAAAAACCGTAAAATGTTTTGTACCGCGACGGAAATCTGTTGGCGTTGACTTGGCGAGGGAAGCGAGCCTGTCTGGCTGCCGCTGAGTGGCGATGACACCGGCATAAGTGGTGTGGCGGCGTCAGTGGCAAAGATGGGGCTTTCAACAAACTCACTCTTCGTGAGAAGGGCGAGAAGGTCGGTGAGCGCAAATAGGTGCACCAGCGCGCGACACTCATCCACAAGTGGCGAGCAGGAGAGACGGTAGAGCATTCCACCGATTTCCACAAATAGGCCCAGCGTCAGCGAGTCCACATACCGCCGGTGGTAGTCCAGATAAGGGGAACTCAACACACTTTGAAACAGAAGTTGGTTGCTGCGCACAAATTCGGCAACCGGCACAAGCGCCGCCTCGGAGTTATCCAATGCTGACAAAATCACATTAAACCAACGCGTGGTAAACAAGAGGACACTTTTAATAACCTCCCTGTACACCTCAACGTTCTCCGAACCAAACGCATCGGTCTCAGCATGGCTATTCGTGTGTCCTAGTACAACCCGGGCGCTTGTATTCCACACCTTCATGGCGATGCAGTGTGATAGGGCATTAATTTGAATCAATTGAACGGCGTGCTGCTGGGAAATAATCATCAGAAGGTCAAAGACAGTTTGTGCAAGCCACAAAATAGAGGCAACTTCCGTCCCGCCATGAGCAAAGAAGGCTGAAATCGATTCATCGATTGCCTGAAATGCACTCGTTATGCACGTCATCAATTGTGGGCTCGTACCGTCGCCTGTGGACGATATACACAGCATTTCACAGAGCTGTGGGGAGAAATGCAGCAGCTGAGCAAGCAGCGCCAAGGCCGCCAACTTGTTTCCACCGGAAGAAGCGCTGGCTATATCCTGGACAAGAACATCAAATAGTGCCCTGTGGTGGCGTTGAAGCGCGATATCATCTAAGGAGGCACCGGGGGTTCCAAGGAAAGCCATAACGGCACTGTAGAAATGCTGCCGTGCCATACCTACCCTAGGCCCCCACTGCACAGTTGTTAGTAGAAGCGTTTTCAGCAACTGCAAACTCTCCGGGTCTATCAAAGAACGACCAAACATGTCTGTAACGTCTTGCTTGCTCAAAATAAGAGTTCCAGTAGCATCCCTCTTGGATGCACGTGAGTAGCCGTCGGTGGTCTCTGTAAAGCTCCTCTGTGCCGTTTGCGAGACTGCTGAAAGTTGTGGAATACTCGTCCTGTCATTTCGTGTGCGTCGCGAGACACCGACGCCTCCATCCATGATGGTTTCGTTTCCAATGTTTCGGCCACTCGCCACCATGGACCCCTGTGCGCCGTTTTGCGGGACACGCACAAGAGCCCCCTCCTTCGCGAGTACCGCCTGGCGTTTGAGTTGCGCCATGAGGGTTGAGAGGGTCTGGCTGAGCTGATACACAATTTGCTCCTGGGCCGCAACCGTCAGCGAGGAGGTTAGTTGAACGCTCTCCAAGAGGCAGTGCGCCAAGTACAGAATACGTTCTTGTTGAATTTTGTCCAGTACGGTGACCGATATGTTCGCCAGGGCGCACCAACCCTCGATAAATTGTACACCGCCGGCATACGCGGCGAGACATTCGTTGGCGCGGACAAAGACGCTGAGCCGCTCCCGAATTTCCTTCGTGGAGAGAGAGCGTTTATTGCTCATCTGACTCTCCCGTTGAACTGCCTCATAAATACGCGGAATCGAGTACTGCGGGGTGTCATCGTTGGCGCGAAAGATGTAACCCTCCGCCCCGCCAGGAGCCACACAGTTCGTTGGAAACAGTGGAAGAGACTTTAAGCAGAAGGTTGGCCACTGTGCAAAGTCCACCGCAATGCCTCTCTCATGGATGTCAATGACGCCGGGTGAGGCAAATTCATCCGACTTCCGTGACGCCAACTGGGGTGAGACATGCAACAGCAAGAAGAGAAGTTCCACCAAGCTGGAATTGGGCGTCGAATACAAAGAGACCTGCAGCTCTTCAGGCGTCTTTGTTCCAATGCTAAAGATGTCTAGCGCCAACAGCTTCATAACAAAGGCGTACTTGTTTAATATGAGCGGTGAACACTGATCCGGACGCAGTGTTTGTAGCACATAAAACACCTTGTCATTTCCACGCCGTTTCATCAGGCGTTGAAGACTGGGAGTGCTGAGAGACGGATTGGCACGGAGAAGATAGACTAGCTTCACATATTTAATCGCAATATGTGGATGCCTCTCCTCAACCTCGCGACTATTCGCTCCTGCTATGATAGGCTCAAGACAGTAACCGGTCAACAGCTCTTCGGTGGAGCCGTACAATGGATAGCCACAGAGCCAAGAGGTGATGGAGGTCTGAGGAGCCAGCGCATGCTGAATAAGAAGATCTAAGATAAGCGACTTAGTCTCCACCTCTGCATGGGGGAGCAGCAGCTGCACCTCATCGTGATCCAGCACGGCAAGTGCAGGTGGGACGTGAATAATAGGACTGCTGACAGCATCCGGACGCAGTGCGGTTACAAACGGTGTGATGACGGCCTCCAGGGCGTCTGGACGAACAAACCAATGACGTGTTGCCTGGCTCACCGTAGGCTGCGGAATCAACAAAAGGAGTTGAAGCGACTTCCGGACAACGAGACTGTCAACACTAGCACTCAGCGGAAGTAATTGGGCGGCGAGCTCGGTGTTACTTGCGGTTCGGGCATCGAAGGTGAAGAGGGTATCTAGACCTTGCTCCTCCTTTACGGTGATTGCGGTCCTTAGCAAGGCAAGACATTGACGCACCGCCGCGCGTTGATAGTTAAGCAGTTCATTCGGCGCCGTTGCGGCCTCAGAGATAATTTGCAACGCTTCACCCAAGACATCCGCAGGCGCCTTTGCGCAGGCCATGACAACTGTAAAGGGAACCATGCTCTTGTCCCCAGTAAAGGCGAGACGCAGCGTCAAGGCGCGAGTCAGTGTTGCTGCAGCTAATGCGGCCACAGTGTATCGCTCGTCCGCAGACGCAAAAAAACGACGGAGGACGCCTCGAAAAATTTCCTCAGCAATAAAACGTGTCACCAGCGTATAAATTGGCAGGTGCTCCATTCCAGGCGTGTGATACTTGAAAAAAGCGATCATCAGACCTAGAAAGCCAATGGTTATACTGTAAGTTCCATGGTGGCATTCGTACTGGCAATGACCCAGTAGCGATCGTGCTTCCACGGTGACGGCGGTGTTGTTGTCATCCGCGCCGCCGTTTGCCCGCCGTTTCACGTCGCCGGTATCGCTCTGCCTCCAACGGCCACCACCACCACCACCAGCAGCAGCAGCACCACCACCACCACTAGCCTCCGTAACAGGACGAAGTAGATGATTTTCTTCTAGAAGACTCCACACACGTGAGGCTTCCTCATGATTTGTGATGAGTGAGCCAATGAGCGAAAGCACCTTCCCAAGCACGGGCTGTGAGAGTCGTGGGGCATAGAGAAAATTAAGAGCCGTGTCAAGTGTGACAGCGTAGCGCACTTGATCCCGAAGCAGAGGGTGCGTTGCTATTTGGCACAACAAGGTAAACACGCTGGCGACAAATCTCTGCTGCTTTTCCAAGAGGTACTCCTGTGTGAACTGACGATGACGTGAGGCGGTTGCCCCTGTGGGTTTCTTTATCGCCGACATGGAGCCGCCCACGTCCAGCCACAGTAACGATGACACTCCTCCACTCACGCCAGTGCATTCTTGTGCCTGTCCGATAAGCGAGGACCACTGCAGCTCAGTGCATTCCACCTGCATTTCGCCGAACAGGGCCACAACACGCTCTGTGTACTGCGGATTCCTCCCAATCATCGCCAACACATCAAGAAAACTGGTCAGGATCTTGAGAGTATACGACTCCCAAATTACATTTGGTCGTTGTGTCTGAAAAACAGAACGCATGTGCGTCACACAGTTTTTAAATATAAAAAATGTCACGGCACAATCAGCATCCATGTCGGGGTTCAACACATCGGAGGGAAGGTTTTCCAGACACGCCGTGAGAGCCTGAAGGATGTGCGCCATCTCCGAGAAGAATGGCTCGCGTTGATCCTGTACCATCTTCTCTACACTGTACTGCTGCAATCCACCACCGCCTGCCGCGGTTGAAAAAGGCGTGTTAACGGTTCCAAACTCCTCGCACTGAGGCGCATCAGTGCCTGCCTGCAAGGACTCCAGGTATCTAACACAAGAGCGTACATCATTATCGGCCACGTGTTTTATTGCTAGAAGCATTTCATCAAACGTGTAAGCAATAATTTCGTATGGAATGATGTAGATATTTTCAGCCGGAACCACCAGCAAACTCGGTAGCGGGGCCAGTTGTACAAAGTACTTCATGACCTTGCCGCGGTTCTCCGAGAATGGGGATTGGCAGCGATCACCGAGAAACGCCTCCACCGCCCTATCCAGACCACGCTCATCGCCCTTGCCACAGAGGAATACACCCACCCCCAGCAAAATTATACTGAGATATCCTTCCAGGATCGACACCCAGCTAAAGCGCTGCCTACCACTGTCTTTTACCCTCGCCTCAAGCGGGACAGGCAGCTTTGGTTGCCCTCCCTTACGGTGTCCAGCGGCGGAAAATGACAAGGATCCCGACATCTGCGAATGCTCAACCTTGGACCGTAGCTTCCTTACCCACTCCTCCACCTCTGTGGCGAGGTTGGAATGCAGCAAAGTGTTTTCCTTGGCTTGCCCAGCGTTGCCACGAAGCTGTTTCCACACCGCCATACTATTCACAAGAGATGCTGTTAAAAGCCATGACACGGCAGAAATACCCGCCGTAGAAGGGTGCTGGCGGAAGGAGTCCATGCTTAGCACTGCTGCGTGCATGTGCCGACGCACCTCTTCCATGAGAAGCTCCAAGATTCCGCACAGTTCCCTAACAAATGATTCCTGCATCTGGAAATGGCGTGTAAGCAGCAGTAGACACTGGGCTGTGAGTAAAATGGGATTTGACTTTCCATGCGCGGAGAAGACAGGGGAAACTGAGCTGTGGCCCGACATGAGGAGGGAGGTTGAGGAAAGTTCTGCCCTGATAAATTGAAGAATGTTGCTAGCTGCAAGTGAGGCAACAGAAGCCAACGTCTCGTTGACGCCGGTCAGCTTCTCAGGCTCTCCGCAAAGTACAAGGAGGCTGAGCAAGACACGAGCCCTTCCCACATGCTCGTTAACGAGTTCCAAGGATCCGACCTGTCCCACAGGAGTATCACCCACAGAACCTAGGAGCGCAAATGGCTGCTGCTGCTGCTGCTTTTGTTGTTGTGTGGTGGCAGGAAAACCTCCAAAACCGCTCGTTGCAGCAGCTCCATTCAGCCCCGGAGCCGTCGCGGCAGTAGTCGCAGCACTCGCGGATGTTGCTTGGCTGCCGCCGCTCTGCTTAAACGGGGAGGCCAAGTACGCCTTAATGTCCGCAATGGCTGTCGCACCAAGACGCCCGTCACGACATGCAGAGCCGATTTGTTGCAGAAGAGTTCCCGCACTCATTTAACGCTTCACTCCGCCTCTTTGCCCCTTGAAGTCCTCCGCGTTGTCACGCCTTCTTTCTCCTGTCGCCGTTGTGCTGCTGAGGCTCTTGTGGGACGACGAACCAAATTCGCCCAGTTGGTGGGCACGTGTGTTTTTGTGCTTCTTCTGTGTCGTTGTTTTTCTTTGTTTTTTTCTGTCCTTCACCCTCGTCTCGCCTGCCTCGTCGTGGAGACTTGGTTCTCTGCTCCTTCCTCCTCCCCTATGTCTTCTTCCCCGCTTTTCTACTCCCTTTACGATGGACCAAATTACACACACAAGAGACTCTTTCGCTCTCGCGATCTCAACGCACGCGCCCGTTCTTCTTTTAGTTATCCCGGAATTTCCTTCCCTTCCGCTTTACTTTTCAGCACCGCCACACCCCCCCCCCCCAAGAGAATCAAGCGTGCAACGCGTCGTGCCGTGACGGCGGCACGCGCGTGGTAGCGGCAAACGCAACACGCGGAGAGCAGAAGAAAAGAAGACAGCGAGGCTGCAGTAGTCAAGTACGTGACCAACACACACACACACACACGGAGAGAGAGAGAGACGTGCATATACGTACATATATATATATATATAAAAGGAAGAAACCGCAATAAAACGAATCTAGGCATTTCTTCGTGCGTCTAACAACAAATCACACGGCGCCGCTAGTGGCGAAAAAAAGGACCCCGCGCGTAGCGGTATGTAAACGATCAAAGGAACAGAGAGTCCGAGCTTGGCCAGCAACACAGAGCGAGAGAAAAAGGGAGGAGGATGGAACCCTGCGGGCAAGAAAGTAAAAATCACACTATGAATTAATCTCATGTCGTTGCCCTCCTCCTCCTCCTCTTCCCCGGTGCCTCTCTGTCCTTGCCTCTGTGTGCACGGAAATCTCAAACGCCTCTCGTATTTATTCCCGCAGCCTCCGCTTCCGTGAAAGTCGTGCAATCGTTTCTCTTAGATCACTCACGACTTTTTCTCTCTTCTCCAACTCCGCCTGCGCCGCTTCTAGTTCCTCGCGATTCTTGCAAAGCACCAGGCGCGTGGCGTCTACATTGTCCATCTGGTTCTGCTTTTCCTCTTCCAAGCGCTGAATCCTCCGCGCACTCTCCACGCGCTCCTGCTGCAACGCTCGCTGCCGCTCTTCATTCTCTTGCAAACGCTTGCTACAGTTCCCTGCCTCCGCCAGCTTCTGTGTGAGATGCTGCTGTAGCGCGACGTTTTCATCCTCGCTCTGCCTCACTGCATCGCGTTGTTCTGCGAGGCTGCCATTAATAACGTGGTCGTGCACCTCCTCCTCAATCAGCTGCACTCTGCGGCGTTCCTCCTGCAGTTGCCGCGCTTCACATGCACGCCGCTCCCGACACTCACGCCTCGCCTTGGAGACAGCACTAGTAAAATAATAATGATGCCAGCCACTGTTTTGCTGCGACACCTGCTCGCCGTCGTAGTCTTCGAGGCAAATGGTATTGGTGTAGTAGTACTCCAGTGTATTGCGCTCCAACTGGAGGGAGACAAGAGCCAGTTGCCCCAGCTTCTGCTCCAGCAGGTCGAGCTGCGCCAGTGCTTCCTCGTACGCCAACTCAAACGGAGATTTCTTTCTGGTCGCCCGCGCAATGGATTGCGCGGGACCAATCGATAGAGAAGCCACCTTGGCGGACGCTGGCGGACGCCGCGCGCTGGCGTTCACGGGCCGTACGGAGAGCGCAGGTTGCCGCGGCTGCTGTGGACGTTGGCGCGCTGCGGCGTCCGAGCCCCATGGCGCCTGCGGGGGTGGCCGCCGCTGCTGCTGCGACATCTCGAAAGCAACGAGCGTCAGACACACACGCGCCGAACCCCACTCGGTGCGACTACAGTCAAGAAGAAGAAAAAAAAACGAAAAAAAAGTGCGGATCACCCAACAAACGCAGAACGAGTGAGGCTGAAGAGAAGAACAACCACCGTAAGAAAAGAGACATCAGTGAGTCATAGAAGGGGGCCGGGGGAACAGAACAGTTGGGCGAGAGATGTGGGGGTGTCTCCTTCCCCGCGTACTGCTCTTCCACTCCTCCCACGTGGTAGACACAGCGCTCTCGTTAAGCACGCAAATAGGTACATGTTCCGGCCATTACTAAGCGAATTACGCAGTTTACTTGCCCAAGGTTAACTCCTTCTCACTGTCGATGCGAATCATATTTACCGGCTTCCCCACGAGGGAGCACAGGACCAATCCCGCATACTGTCGAACCTCCGACGGTGAGCATAGCTCAACAAACTCATCCCACGAAACGTGGTGGACAAACTCCGCCCACGTGATGAGACCGGAGTCAGGGTGCGGCAGGGCGCTTAGACTGCCTGCCTCAAAACGCTGCTCCCGCATGATCTCAATCTGGGCACAGCTCTCACAGTGCCCAATGCCGCTCGACACAGTGCTACTGTCACTCACCGTACCTCTCTTACACGCCAAATCCCGCATCTGCCACTGCATCCTGGAAGGGTTGGCAAAGTCCAAGGTTCGCAGAAACCGTTGCACGGCAAATATACCGTACTGAGAGAGCTCCCTGTCGCTCACACGGGCATAGAACGCGCTCCACGGTAAACCCAGCGCGGCCTCAATGATTCTTCCTCTATTTTCCAATGTTTGTTTTGCATCGAAACGATCCAAAGACAGACACGGCGCGTGCGCCCCTTCGCTTCTCATCCTTCCAACTGCACCGCTTCCTTTCCTTGGCCGCGGCGCGGGTTCAGCTGCTTCTACATCCAACGGCGCTTCAAAAATGTCGCGGCTGGCCACCGCAGCCTCAGCCTCTTCCGTGGCAACTGGAGGTATTTCATCATCGGCAAAATGCGCCTCTGCTCGACGTCCAAGACGCAACCTGGTACGATCAATGTTGGCAAGAATGGCAGAGGAAAAGTACCCCTGCAAGAGATCTGTCACAAAGCCTCGCATCATATCCAAGCCCGCCACATGCACCAAGTTTGACATTTGCTGTTGCAACTGATGCTTGTAAAACGATGAATACGAGACACCCAGCAACCACATGGCTTCATACACACCCCATTGCTCAACGCGACGCCAGACGAAACGGGCGTCTTGCACGGAACGAATAAACAGGCTCAGGTAACCAAGTTGCTCCCACATAGGATCGTTCAGTGCCCCAGGGGAGCGGTAGAGTGAGATGGAAACCGTAGCCTGTTCAATAAGCAGGTGCTCCATGAAAACAACTTGCTGCTTCCAAACGTCTTTTGCACGTAAACTCATTTTTCCCCTTGTCACCCGCGACGCCAAGAGGTGACGGTCATTTCTCTGTATTGGTGAGAGCGGCCCGGCCACATTTCCCCAAACCACACGCATGTGCTCCAGAAACTTCATTGCCCGAAAAATAAAAGAATCCTCGAGATGGACCTCCATGGAGCTGAGGTGGACGACAAACTCTTTAAAATACAAAATGGGGGTTCTGCGAAAAAGTTTGCGTGAGAAGCGGATAGTGGAGGGTTTGGCATCCACCAGTTGCGCCACCACGCGCTGCTTTGCGCATAGACGTTCGTCATCCACCTGTATCACGGAGACGGAGAAATCAAAAACCTGCTCATCGCCATGGCCTTCCGACTCTTTTACCTGCGAGAGGGAAAAAGTGAGAGGCTTTACCGTCAAAAGAATAAAGTCCTCACTGTCGTCCGAGAGCAGCGCGTGGATACTGTCCAACTTCACCCGGAAGAAAAATTGAAAGTATGGAAGCAAGCAGAAGGTGTCAATGGTGTTCTCAGTAGTGATACTAATGGCGTAGCTCGCGCGGCCTAACCCACGCACCCGAACAAAGAGCACGTCTCCGTCTGGAAGATGTAGCGTTTGCTGCAGCTGTTCACTGCGTCGTAGTACGGCTTGTGGGTCGAAGTTGATGAGGAGCGGCTTGGCGCGCGCAGCCCGGCTCTCAGCTTCCCAGAGTTCCATCACCGGTTGGGATTTTGCGTCCTCCCACGCGAGCCCTCGTGTGGTTCGCGGGTACACAACAACGAACTGAGCGACGCCGCGCTGTCTCACGTTTATTTTGTGCCCGGTGCGATTCTCAACAACAAGCGGTGGCCGGGGTGGCCTGGAAACCACAACGAACATCGTTCCCCCGCGACGATGACACGAGATCATCAAGACATCCGAGCCCACACGCGTGAAGTAAGACACATCCCCAATTTGAGCGACCGTATCATCGGGATACACGCAAGATCCATCGTGCACCTTCATTCGTAGCTCAAAGTGAACGTTAAAGGCGCGTTCACTCAACTTGTCAATGTTAAGAGGCTGTGACCAGTAACAGCGTTGAATTCCAGACTCCTCATCTGCAGGAAGCCGCACTTGAATGGAGTTTGCTGCATTGCCGTCACGAGCAAAATCAATGCGTTGGCTCTGACTTGGCGCCAACTCGACGGGTCGGGGAACAAAATTCGTGCTGTCATACACCTTAACCCCATACTGACGGAAGGTGATTGTGTTATTGGTACAATTCTGAAGAATCCAGCGGGGACTAAATGTGACGACACGAGTGGCCTTCATGCGACCCCCTACAAACTCCACCGTGTACGACAATGACACGCTTACGTGCTTACAGAAGCTACCATGAACAACGCCACTCTCGCACAGTGCGCCAATGGGAACTTGATCAGACCATTTGGTCCATTGAAGACCAGAATCAGATGCATGTCGTCCAATAGACACATAAATTACCGCCTTGTCCCTAAGCTTTTCCATGCGTTTCGTGTTAAGAAGGTAGGCGGGATCACCACTACTGGCACCGCCAACAGCGTCATTGAGAGGGGCGGGCGTGATGCCGCCTTCGCTGCACAGTCCCGCGGCTAGTGCGCCATTCTTTGCATCTGCGACTCGCAGGCAGTGTGGGGTTCGGTTGATGATCCAGTACGGGCACCAGATGGTTACCACCCGTGGGGCGTACTCAATGTGGAGAATGATGCAGGCACCGCGTTGGTCGCGCAGGGCTATGGTGCGATCACACACCCGCTTGCTGACAGAGCGCACAAGCGCCGGAGACAGACTCGATCCCGAGTGCCGGGAGCTTTGCCCCATCGGTTCCCCGTTCGCCTGGGCAACAAGCACGTCGACGTAAATGTCTTTTAGCGGACTCACCTGCGTGATGCAAGAGCGCTCTCCCGAGGCAACAGCAACCGTCGTGACGCTTTCGTAGGAATTGGATTCCCCAAACACCAACAGAGAACGGTGTTGGTTGTCGGTTTTTATTCGGTACAACAGACTAATCCGCATCGGCACACTCGTGCCATTAACGATCAGAAAAGGCGCCTCAAATGTGCCTCTGCAATCAATCACATCGGAGGTCCCGACGAAATTTTTACCACTAAAGCGAAGGCAAAAAAAGACAGACTGTCTTAAAGACGTAGAGGCCTGTACGGTGTTGCCGGCCTCCAGGATGTCATTGGATTCAATTGCGCAGACACCAAGAAAGACTTGCTCATAGAGAAAAGGCAGCATGTCGTAGGTCACCCCCAGGGAACATGGGGTGCCGCGGCGTCCTTCCGTGCGCGGCGCAAAGGTGGTACGACGTCGCAGACACTCAACAGGTAAATGCAAAACACCACCTGGTGGAACCAACCCCACTCCGCCAACATCCATAGAAAATGGAAGTTCATTTTTAAACGCAATGTTTGTGCGGAACTCAACCAATTTTTGTCCCTCCGCAATGCTGACATCCATCAGCAAATGACGGCCCACGACGCCAGGACCATTAAAGACGAGACGCTTCCCTGTTTTCGCGACGCTCATCAATTCCTTGTGACTTCGGAACGAGACCAGCAAACGGTGCTTCCAGAGGGGCAACTCATGACCCTCATCACAAGGGAAGTTAAACTGCATGGTCTCGTTGGCATTCAGCATGGAGGGTTTACAAAGGCAGTTGTGGCTGTCGTGGGCAAAACGAATTTCCAGTTCATGTCCAAGGTGTTGAGTCACGCGATACATGCAGAATTGCTGTTTCGAGGTCCAGAGTGGGTTACAAAGCGCGTCGTGTTCAAACGTGCGCCTTGCGTCCTCCAAGCGCTTCTTTAATAACCACACACGACGCACGTTTTCTAGCACCCGCGCAGAGAAGTGTAGGCGCACAGGACGTAAATGAAGCCCGGTTCGCAGATATCCTTTTCGGCACTTTACGTCTTCGAGTGACAAATTCGGCTCACTTCGTAGCACGACGTCCAAAAGGACGGGTTCAAGCAGCGAACACCACGCTGAGGTGCCGAGGTTGTAGTAGATGACACTGCAGGTGAGGGAAACGTGCAGCTTGAGAGCTACACCTTTCTTCTCCACCGTCGGGGTGACGAGGTTGTCAATGCGGGCGCGAAAGAGGGGGATGTTGGCATCGCTGCTATCATCCACCACATCCACGCTGAGGTATCGCAGATTAAACGACAGACTCGTATGGTGTGCCACCTCGGCCGTTCTGTTGCTCTGCTGACTGTCGTACTGCGGCGTCTCCAGCGACGACGCGATTTCGCCCCCCACGACGTCATCCAGCACATTCTTCTCGATATGTCCTATTGCCTGCTGCGCCTGTAGGACAGCGTCCCAGCAAAGGTAGACGTCGCCGTAACGGAGCCGCACCTCAATTCCGTGAGGACAGTGTACCCCGACATGCCGCTTCACTAAATTCTCTAACTGAGAGCGCGACTGCGTGTGGTGAACCGTCAGCGCCCACTCAGAAACTAGCGGTCGGGTCTCCATTAGACTTCCGTCTGCGTCCAGGTACTCACAGTACAGGAGGAACTTACTCATTTCAAACGTACTGGAGCCATCCATCACGTGACCATCATGCATTGTCATTGCCATCTGCACAGACATCGTTGCTTGAAGAACCAATGAGCGTGAAAAGTGTGGCGCATGTGCTGTCGCCTGGGAACGGACGCGTAACCCATCCCTTCCCTCTGGAAGTGTGAGTAAGAGGACGACACTGGCCCTGACTCGTCTATTGACATTATTTGCACGGCACCCTGCTTCCGAAGTGGCCAAAACATCCTCCTCGGTGTTCCTGTTACTACGGTTTTTTGAATTACAGCGGAGAGGCAAAGAGGCGGTCTCGTCCTCCCCGGTTTCTGACTCCGATGCGTTTGACTCCGGACCAGCGCCTGTGGCGCGGGCATTACCGCAGGATTGAGGCGCCTCGTTCAGAATTATATTACGGGTTGCATCTGCAACCACGTACGACCCATTTCCAAAGGCCACGTAATACTCAAGGACTCTCCCGTAAAGGTGGATGCGGGCGTTGATGATGCAAAGCGTGAGACCATCGCCAAGTGACAAGAGGGGCGATTTGGCGTCAATGAAGTAAATGTCATGCCCGTTAGCATCAATGGTGATGTGGTTGTACCGCCCCTGCCCCACCTGCACCTTGGTGCGCTGCGAGAGCACCAGCCGCTCCTGCAGAGTGACGTCACTATCGATGTATCTCACCTCGTGCACGTGGTATTCTGGCAGCACAATTCTCCGGTAGGGTTCGTAAATAGTGGAAAGCAACAAGTGTATGCTGCTTTTTTCGAGTAGCACAACGGCTCTTCCAAAGTCCACCTGGATCGCTTCCTCCCGCGTGCTCCATGCGTCTAGGCGGAAGGAGAGGCAGCGAGGGGCCGGCAAAACATCCTCCTCCTTCCTCTTCTCTCCGTCGATGTCGCTCTTCAGAGAAGAGGAGGCAGCGGCCAGGGGACGCATGTCAAGCAGTTTTGCTTTCTTGTCCGCGCCCAGGGTAATAAAATCCAGGTTCACATGCATCCGCCGTGTCACAGTGGGGCTGCCCCTCAGCTCACTTCCGCCCACGAGGCGTGCATACAACGCAGACATCTCCCCCACTTGAAGGAAGAAGCCAACATTGTTGCGTAGCACACGCAACGTGAAGGATTCCCACTCTACGCAGACTCGCATGCCAACGCCACTTCCTCGCGCGGAGGCAGGGACGTCGCCGGATTCACATACTGCTGGGTCACCCATCGGTAGACGGAGACCCAACGCCGTGTCCTCCGCGTTTGAATTGCAGGTGTCTAATAACTCCGCCTCGATCGCCACAAAATTACGCGCCAGACTGTGTAGAAGAAGCTCATAAAGAGACTGTTCCACTTCCACCATAATCGCACTGACACTGAGCTTCAACTCCCACATTGCATTAACATGTGGACGCCCGGAGAACTCTACGCGCGTCGGCTTCAAAACGTAGCATGAATGCTCCCACAGGGACCTCACGCTAAGAGCAGCGAGTGAAACGCCAAAAGAGCCATCACCCCCCGCATCCCTCGCCACGGTGATGTCTCCCGGGCTGAACACTACACCACGGCCAAGGCGTAGGCTACACGCGACAACGTCCCCGTTGTGTTCCGCCACCACCACGCAAGGTGCCTTAATCGTAACGTGCACCGACAACGAGGAAGCATTTGCACGGCTGTATGGCCGCCGACTTCTCCACATCCGCCGTTCCTCTAAAAAAGTCCACAACCAGCACAGCTGCATGTATCCACCCTTTTCAAAAACCTCACGAAGGGTGCAAATCTCTCGCTTAAGGGGGAGAAGAACCCATAGGGAGTCAACCGTCCCGGTGAGCCCTTGCTCTGCGGTGCACGTGAGAGAGAGCAGCCGCTGCGCCTTCCCAGTCTCCGTACTTTTCTCCGAGCAAAACGGCGGCAGGAAGAGAGGCGTCAGATTCCGTTCACCACCCAACGCTTTATCCTCCACTACCAGACCGTTTTGCGCGATAACGCCAACCGAAAGGGACCACGCACAGTTTACTCCATACTTCTCGGAGGAAGAGACAAATTCAATGGAATTAATGAAGACAACAAACAGCGGCATGACGCGCTGACGTGGGTGTATCGGCCGCAGAATAGTCAATTTCACTCCGCCAAGAGTGAAACGATGATTGAAGGAATAGTCCTGCTGCTCTGGAACAGGCGGGAATAAAACAACTCCCGCCACACGTGGTTCCCAACGTAGAATTCTACCATAGGCATTTCGAGCATGAAGGCCAAATAGAGAATCTTTCAGGTTAAATAAGAAATATGGCTCCGGTGTGATATCAACAGCACCGACCGCAATGCGAGTCGACACCGACTCATCCCCATTTTCTTCAAAACTCACTTCATACCGCACCTGAAGTGCCACGTCTTCCTTCGTAGGAGTATGACGCTGACTTATCCCTTCCTCCCCTGCCGTAGTTGGTGGCGTCGCCGTTCCACGACTCTCATTGTGCAACCAAAGAAACCGAAGTGCGTCATCCACGGCTTCTCTCGGATGACGGCGAAACACCACACGACTCTGCAGCAACGGCTCTAATTGCCACACAGAGGCCTCTCCAACGGCATAGCGGGATAAGAATCCACCATCTGACCTCCAATGAAGCTTTAGCGTGAAACGCTCCATCACCACAGCGACATCGATGGCAGGACGTTCAAGGCTCACAAAAGAATCCACGTCGTCCTCCACACAACGGTACAATCGAGGCGGGTCCCTGAGACGAAGGCATATGTACCGAATATCAACAGTCCACCCCGTCAACTCCCCGCCGGCACCGTAAGCCAGTAGAAAGGGGTCAATGGCAACCCTATTGGGCAGAAAGCGGGACTGCCACGGCTTTTCCATGTAGTTCACAAAGAACCAGTTTACCAAGAGTACAAATTGATGTGTAGTTCCCTGGAAAACGACATCCGCTGGCATTTCCACTCGAAAACGACGAGGGCGCGCGCCGCTCCAGCCATCTACACGAAAGAGTTCATAGGAAAACTCCATTAAAAACTGTGTGCGGTTCAACAAGGTCACCATATTCAAAGCAGCAGAATCACTGCTGTTTCGTTTCCGTCGTATTCCCTGAACTTCAAGTCCCTCGAGCGTCAGCGTTGAAATGTGTTGCACAACTCGCTTTTGGTTTGCGGAGTTGCTTTCCCCAACAACGACAAGTTTATCATGGAAGCGGCAGAGATCAACTTTCCCCCACAGCTTGGCGGGCAGATGGGGAGGGTTGTCTCGAAGTGAGAGTTGCAAGTGCGACAACTCTACATGTTTATGCAACAGGCACCAAGAAAATGGTGCAAGCGGGGCATCGGGTTGAGGCCAACGCAGCAGCGGAGTCCCCACGGTATAAGGCTGGCGCCACACCAACATTGCCGCTCTGGAGATGACGCCTCGTGAAAGCACCTCAATAAGGCTCCATAACTGTGCTTGACAGTAGACAACGTCTAAATGCTCCCCTGACAGCAAAACAAAATGTGTGTGGCGGTACCCAGCAGTACCTCCATTAGCAATGAAATCTGATGTCGACAACAGTGGTGGCTCACGGTGGATAGAGAATGAAAGGGAGAGCGTTGGGTTGCTGGCGAGAGTCCCTGCGTCGGTTTTCTTTTCGCAGCGGTTTCTGGTGGGGGCGACCATTTGAACAAGTTCCCCGGAAGAGGCATCACGCATCATTATCTGAGGATTATGTATCATCGAACACGTCTTATTACAGCCCTCCGTGTTGCTCCAGCAAATGTTCACGCGAGAGCCTTCTATTACGGCCACGGGTCCAAGTGCGGCATCATCCGCGTCACCGCACTGTTCCCCATGGAGAGTATCCGCGTCAACTGCTACGCCTGTTTTGTCTGCCAATTCAAACCTGTCAGTGGGGTAGTAGAGTGACAGAGCAAGGCGCTCCAGATCGATGGAAATATAGTTACCTTGGAGTAGACCCCCAGCAGGATCTGCCCGCCATTTTTCTTCAATAGATGTTGCAGTTTCAGCCGACCAAGGGATAGAACGATATATCGCATGCCCATATATTTGATTTGTCACAATTCCCGTAATATCCCATAACATTTCAACAACACTCAGCAACTCACTTGAAAACTCCAATTTGACGTCTGTTAGGGCATTCAGCTTCATGTACTTCCTAGACAAATGGGGATATACTCGCTCTTTCATTTGAAACGAAATGTGCATCGCCGGATACACACCAGAGCCCGCATTCGCATCTGCATCTGCCACTCCAGTGGAAGTGGAAGTGGAAGTAGAAGCGGAAACAGGTGGCGTCGCCGCGGACCTCGTGACCTCTACCACTGGCGTGTTTCTCGCGTGCGCCGTGACAGACAATCCTTCCGTAGTGAGAGCGATGAGTTTCTTCCGTTTTTGCTGCACATAGGATAGATTCACCGCGGTCATAAATACACTGTGCACTGGCGGTGCTGCGTCGTCCTCGTGCCGCTCAATTGCCTCATCCAGAAGGAGAAGCGTACACTGCGGGATGGCCATGTCAATCGTAATCAAACGCAGCTGGTGCTCCTCGCCCACTTGCCTTTCCGCCGCTTCCTCGTCCTCTGGTGAAGGGTCAAGGGGGACTTCCATGGCATGGTAGTCCACTGCATGGGCGTTAAGCGCGTTGGCAAAGTGATAAGCCTCCTCCGTGCTCTTGAACCTCACGCGGAGGTGACGGCATGGACGTGTTCGAGCGGACGCACGTATAATCTGAAACGCGCGCTCCACCTCTTGTGCTTCTCCCTTCTCCCCACTACCCTTATGCGCTCGATGCCATTCTTCTGCGAAAGCCTCAAGTAGCCGCATGCTCCCAAGAGATGGAAACTTATACTTGCCAAAGAGCACCTCCTTCGCCTTCAATACACCGCATCTGCACTCTTGCGAGACACCACCGCACTCCAGAAATAAACTCACCTCCGCGGCATCCTGCAGAATGTGTAGATGCCCTCGATGAAGCTCAAAAAAGTGACTCGGAAAGGAGGGTCGTTTGCTGTGATAGACAATCATTTTCCCCATCGCCACTTCCACGCGGCGGTGGGTGTCTAGCCATTCCGGCGCCCGCATCTTTTCGCGATAAAATTGTTCCTGCTGACACCGCAGGGAGAGTTCATGTTCGACAAGGTAGCGTTCATCGACCGTCAAAACTTGGGCAAGGAATACCATGCTTGAGGAGGCAACCGAGGCCTCACAGACTGTATTGGTGGCCGTCAGCTGAGAGAGTCTCTGACAAACGTCTGTCAGAGACGAAAAGGAGTTGCACAGTACAGAAAGACTCTGTCGTGAGCATCGAACTTGCAGTGGTTGTGCAAACACAAGTGATGCGGAAAAGAGCGGCACAGAAGGGCTGCGTTGCATCATCATACTCTTCTTGAAGCACACCGTAAAAGATGAAAGGGACGTCATCTTTTCCCAGTGCCTTTCGGAGACGCCGTTGTCGTTGTCGTCGTCATGGCAACCGGCATCGGCACCCGTGGGGGTCACGAGAGACTCCACCGTTAATCCCTCTACAATGACATGTGCCGTATTCACCCAATCGTCCGGGTCGTCGCCGAAGATGTTGGACATTCCAGCGAGGCTTTGTACGCGCCGCCGTCGCTCAAGTTTCCTTGCAGGGTCATTCCTCATTTCCAATCGCCCCACCTTCACGCGACTCACCTGCCGCGCATCCTCCGAGGCAGCGATGCGGAGGTCGTGAAGTAGGATGCGCCAGCTGCACAGAAACTCCCGCTCCACCCTCATCATTAGCGCCGTCCGCTGTGCCGCGGGGTCCATCGCCTGTCGTCGCCGTTTGCAGGGTGGGCTAACACCCCCCAAGAAGGCTGCAGACGATGCTGTGGCCAACGACGGAAAGAAAGAGGCGGGCGGAGGGTGCACAAACTCAATGCAGGCCCGAAGAAAAGGCACGTCCACGTTGCAGTCCATGGGGCTCCATTCCAAGCGAAGTTCATATGGCAGCACCCCAGTCACAGTGTCATACTCCGCCAAGCTACCAGCGTGGTGTCGCTTCAATGAAAGCGACATCGCTGACGCATCTTCAATGCCGCCCGTCACATACCTTTCATTGGCCACACGAATAACACTCACCACACGCGGTTGCTCCGACAAGTGCGAAAACACCATATACTCGTCAACCGCAAATTTAAAGGAAAAACGCCGCGTAAACATGTAAGTCAATTTGGCGTTAAGTCGCTCCATTGCCAAAGTAGCAAATGGTATACGTTCCCCATCGCTCTCGCACAGCATTAGCTCGAGACCATGTACATAGAGACTAGCCTGCCAGCGAAGCTCCCCAAGGTTCCCGTGAGATGCACCACTAGCATCGGAGAGGCTTTCAACTTCATTCTCGGGAATACCAAACTCCTTGGCAATGGCGAGACGTTGCGCAACTGTCCAACGTTCCGCATATACAAGCTGAAACATTTCTTCAGTCTCTGCCTGAAGTTCAGCGGCGTCCTCGTCCAACGCATCAGAGGAGGTGTGCCGTGTCCGTGAAAAAACTGTCCAACCCCACCAACTTGAACTGCCTGTCCTACTCGCCTGGGCCAAATCCATGGCGGCTCCCACGCTTGACACACTCTGTGGCTCCCCAGATTTCTCTTCGGCTTCTTCTTGTTCCTGCTGCTGCTGCTGCTGCTGTTGTTGTTGTTGTTGTTGCCGTCGCTTCTCTAATAACTTGTCCCTGTGCTCCCGCTCCAGCTGCGCTCGACGATAAGCGAGCCGCCGTGCTAGTTTGATAGACTCCATCGGTAGTTCCATCTCCAATTCTCGCAGGCGCAATGCCTCTTCCTTTGTAAGCTCCGCAAGCCAGTCGACCCCCAAACGTTCTCGCCTGGCACGCTTGAAAAGTGTCATGTAATTTTCTCTCGCTGCCTTGAGACGCTTGTAGTTTTCCCATACAAACACATGCCGCTCGCGACTCCGCCGTACACGATGCAGCGTCACTTGAATGGCGTAAGCCCACCACGCACGCGCATTGTCGGTGGGCCTTCGTTTGTCTGCGTCCACAGGCCTAAACTGACGCAGCACGTCGTACTCCTCCCCGTCACGTATCTCACGCCACAGGGCACGAAGGGTTGCCCATTCCCCACTAGACAACGCAGCAGATAGAACATCCAAATGTAGATCTATACGTGCTGTCGGAAGGTCGGCGCGGTACGGCACCGGCTGGTACTGTACACAGGCCATTGCACCAAATGGGGAAATAAAACGGTGACACCCCGATGGTTGACGCTGCCGCAACGTTGAGGATGTGATCTGCTTAGGCGATCTTCTGACCTTCTCCAATGGAGTCCCTTCCGTCTCCTGTGCGGTACCGGAGACGTGGCTCTCCTTATGGTCGCCTCCAGCCACCGTTACCGCAGGGGAAGTAGTCGCATTAAGCAAAAACTGCACCCCCTCCAGCACCACCTTCTTGTACAACACTCGATCCTTCGCTGCGGTAAAGTGCGGATTGAAGTTTTCATCACACGCATACGTTCGAAAGTGGTCCAGTACAATAGAAAAAGAATGGTAGTCTTGACCCACACGTTGCTCCTTTCCTGCGTCTACGCCTCCTCCAGAGGCGTAACAGCCTTCATACTCCACAACAACATCCCTCAACAGCAGTTGAACATTGTTCAGTATGACAGACTTTAAACGTGCCGCAAAAGTTACGTCCTTCTGCGCTTCCACACATGCATTCCCCTCCTCCTGCATCTCCTCTTGTAGTATACTCCCTGTGGAAACTGTGGTGTGGGTCGGGAAAGCGGTCTGGGCCGTCCTTTCATCTTCTGCAATTTCTTGCTGCAGCAGCTCATCAAACAACTTCAATTGGTGCAACTTGCGTTCATATGCCTCATGTTTTTCACGTGCCGGGTCATACCCCGCCGCCGTCTTCTGCTGCAGCACCACACGCACCTTTTGTACCGCCACCACCACGCACTCCGACTGCAGCCGTGTCCATGGAATGGTAACAGTCATCTCCTCGATGAAGCCTTCTTTGACGCAAACGGCCGTATCAAACGCCCGCAAGGCGTCCCTGCGGAAGCGCAAATTCCTCAGCCTCACATGTCCGCTCCACAAAGACACCTTCACCTGCTCCCTGTTTACATTCTCAAAGTAGTTCCCCAAGTGGGTTGTGACAAGGCCCGCCACAAATTTGTCAAACATGGAAGAAGAAGCTGCTCCAAACAGCGAATATAGCCAAAGTTGGTAAAAAAAACAACAACAGGCGAGTAAAAGAAAAACAAAGCAAAAATGTCCACAAGTCTTTCGTTAGCTCCGCGTAGAGGTGTTGTTCAGTTCCCGCTGCGTGGCGATGGCCGTCCCAAGCAAGCAGGCGCAGGAGATGCTACGATATATATAATATAACTATTTCCGTGCAAGCATTAATGCATAGAGAGAAATCTAGCGTGTGTGTGTGTGACGGGAGTGACTGGGGCAGCAACAGTGCAGCGAGTAAACGCCAGCACTGCACGTCTTGCTCTTGTCCAGCTCCCCACCCCTCCTAAAGTATGTCACCAACGGCTCCACCCTGCTCTTCTCTCTGTTGCGCGTGTGCCTGTCTCTCTCCTAGGCGTACTACTGCACCCGGCCACTCAGTGGTGGGAGCGCAGCCGCCCTAACGAGAGTCAGAAAACTCCAAAGTAACAACAACAAGAACAGGAAACAAAAAAACGTCTCTTGGCGCGGGGCGCATAGGAGAGCAGAAGCAAATTCGTTTACGCGGGGAAAGAAAAATACAAGCAATAGATGAATAAAGGGGCCGTATAGAAAGAAGGAAAGCGTTACAACAGCAACGTAAACAAGCACGTCAAGCAAGTTGTGAATGGACACGGGGGTACTGGAAAAGAAGAGCGAAGATGATACTTTAAGTAACTAAGACAGTCAGACACACACACACTGAAACGCAGAGCAAGCGTATGGTACAACAAAAGCGTGAAGAACAAAACGGCAAATAAAAACACCGCTTGAGATATTGTTATTATTATTTTTTTTTCTTTTCTTTTTTACGTTTTATTTTCACACGGAGGACAGACTTGAAACTTAAACAATGATAAACCAGTACACGGCTTCCGCCTGCTGCATCTCTGTCGCTCTCTTCAAGCTTTTTCTTGGTGCCTCTTCGGTATCATCCCCTCGAATCGTTGACGGCTGGTCAATCCACACTGACCCGTTCTGTACCATTCGTTCAAGAACAGCCTGAACACGGTGAGACCGCCACATAAGACTGGCTTCAAGCTCACTTTGCCTAAACGCCACACACTGCACATCAAGAGGGATATCCGTTGTGCCAGTTTCGACGTCTGTTTCAACATCAGCAGAGCCGCGATACAAAGCGGGGCCCAGTAACGCGTGGGAGACCCCCACGCGGCCGGAATTCACACCACCAAGCACCGCTTTGTTAGACACATATTCGCTCTTTACTTGAGCAGACCGATAATGGGAAATCTGTTGCGCACGCTTCTTCAGCAGGCAGTCAAGCAGTGGAGCGTCATCCGCGCTGCGCGTTCCATCAGGCGTGGTTTGAATGTAACTCACACCAGCAAGTTTTACCACGTTGTAGCCCTCTCCTAACACATGTAGCTTGTCAAGGGCCATGCAAATATCGGCCTCCGTGATAGCACAGAGACTCCCGTCGTTTCCCTGAGAGCCATACTGCCTCTTCATAATATGCACGATGCGATTTAATGGAACGTATGAACCACAGAACTTCCGCTCCTTCATGCAAGACTCCACCACCTTCCCTGCCAAACCATAGTAAAAGTCCCCAAGACCCAAAATACCGGCAAAAATGTTTTTCTTTGAGGAAATAAGATCGATGCCAAGGGAATCCGCCATCTGCCGAAACCGCGCGCGAATGATAGGGTCCTCCCTAATCTCATCCCTGTGCTTGCGCGCAAGGGAACGCAAAGCTTCCTCAAAACCCTCCAGTTGGTCCGCTATTTGCCCCAAACGCTCTGCCGTGATTTGGGCGCCCAAATCAGTCATCTGCCGCTGCGTCTCATTCTTCCTCTGAACGTGTGCAACCCCAATTCCGCGCCGCATACCCTGCAAAGTGTGGAGAGAACAGAATTCCCCCAACTTATTCCTTGCACACCAGCCTTAGCAACACCCTCGCGACAACGAGAGAAAACGCAACATGCACAAACAACGAAGCCAGAGGCAGCCAGTAATAAAAAGAGTGTGAGAGAACATACACCACAAGCATCCATTATACAGCGAAGGAAGAAACAACCACCACCCAAAGAAAAAAGGGAAAAAATCCATTAAAAAATGAGCAAAAAAAACGACACAAAATATATAAAACCAGCACAACACTTCAATATTTTGCCTGTCAACAGCCCAACACGACAACCTTCCTCCGCACTGCAGCGCACAACGCTCCCCAAAAGAGAACGAACCAGTGCAAAAGAAAAAAAATTTAGCATAGTCTTTTCAGAAAAAAAAATTAGAAACATGCGAATTAAAAAAAAATGATATACTTAGCTCAGACAAGAGTGCTGCGAAGCAAAATTCTCGTCCACCAAAAACGCGTATGAAGCAAAAGCCTCTGATCCAAACAAACGTGCCCGGCTCATAAAACATTCCACACCCCTGAGAGCAAAGTCACTTGTCATAAAAGCGCTGTGGCAAGTCAAAAGAATCTTGTCATCGCTGATGTCCCACAGCGGGGAGGCGGAGGAGAGCGGCTCCTGCTCGAAGACGTCCACAGCGGCACCACGGATGACGCCGTCCCGCAGCGCACGCACGAGGTCCTCTTCGTTCGTCGTGGTGCCGCGGCCAATGTTGATGTAGATTGCACTCGGCTTCATCATGGCAAAGCGCTCCCTGTTGAAGAACTGCTTTGCCCTCTCTCCCCCTGGAATAATATTGACCAAGAAGTCGGACTCGCGGATCACGCGGTCCCGCTCGGCGTCACCGGACACCACAAGCGCGCCGTACTTGTCCACCTTCTCGGAGGGTGCGGAACGCCTGACACCTGTCACCTCCATCCCGAACACGGTGGCAAGGCGGGCGGTGGCCTGCCCAATGTCGCCGTAGCCAATGATGCCCACCTTCCTCCCGCGCAGCTCAACCATGTTGAAGGGGTCCCACTTGTGCGCCGCGCGGCTCGCCAGGCTGCGCCACGTTTGCCGGTAAAAGTACAACATGGAGTACATCACGTGCTCTGCCAAGATGGAAGAGTAGCAGCCGCGGCCATTCGTGAAGGGAATGTCCTTCACCTCTTCAAGAAGATCATGCAATTTATAGCTGTCCAATCCAGAAGAGACACTGTGAATCCATCGCACACGACGCTTCTCTTTCGGCAGGTGGTAGTCGTCGCACAAATACTTGATTGCACCATGACCGAGAGAGCGTGCAACAAGGATAACAAGAGGTTCCCCAGATTGCTTTGCTTCCTTGAAATCTTCTTCAGGAACTGTTTTAAGAATGACCACGCGCTTAAATCCACCAGGACCTGAGACGGTTTTTATAATCTCTTCTGCGAATGGCTTCGGAACATCAAAAGCAATGCAAAGTGTATAGTCGAAAACACTCTCCATCGAGCTTGTCATTAAACCACTTAAGAAAGTTCGTGAAAAATGCAATTAAACCTGTAAAAAAAAGAGGAAAAAAATATACAGGCACTCAAATAATACACGCAGAACAAACACCAAATTCCACTCAGAAAATAAAAACATTCCATTACAAAAACGGAAAAAAAATGGTAGTAGTACAAAAAAAATGTGTCCAATACGCGCAAGCAACAAAAATTGAGGCAAAAATTTAGGAAATCACAAAATATTAAGCAAGCAACCCACGATATACTTTCCGTTACCAAAATAAAAATAATTCCACGCAACAAAAGAACGCGCATTACGCACAGAGATACACGCGGTGCAGCTACTATATACGATTGAAGGATCTTGTCATCGCTGATGTCCCACAGCGAGGAGGCGGAGGAGAGCGGCTCCTGCTCGAAGACGTCCACAGCGGCACCACGGATGACGCCGTCCCGCAGCGCAAGCGCGAGGTCCTCCCCTTTCGTCGTGATGCCGCGGCCAATGTTGATGTAGATTGCACTCGGCTTCATCATGGCAAAGCGCTCCTTGTTGAAGAACTGCTTTGTCTCCTCCGTCCCTGGGAGGGTATTGACCAAGAAGTCGGACTCGCGGATCACGCGGTCCCGCTCGGCGTCACCGGACACCACAAGCGCGCCGTACTTGTCCACCTTCTCGGAGGGTGCGGAACGCCTGACACCTGTCACCTCCATCCCGAACACGGTGGCAAGGCGGGCGGCGGCCTGCCCATGTCGCCGTGCCATGNTGCCCNCCTTCCTCCCGCGCNGCTCACCNTGTTGAGGGGGTCTCNCTTGTGCGCCGCGCGGC